CTTAAGAATGGACTAAAGTTTAGAAGACTGTAAGTCTGTGTGTAAGTTTCTGGAGTTAATCACTCGCATGGGCTGTATTTAGGGTTCCTGTTACAATTAACTGGTATTCTTTTTTTGTCTTTTCAGGTTCACTGCCAAAATTTACAGCTGTTTAGCACAGAATTATTCTTAAATATCACGTTAAGTACTGACACATCATCCATATCTTAAGACTGTACTTGTAAAGAATGTCTACATTATGTAGAATAAAATTTATTATGGATTTTAATGTGGGATATCGAATACACTGCTGATGATTTTAATACTAGGTGGTCATATATTGTTCGTGTTCAAATAATAAGAAACCTGGATCATGGCAGCTGTTGTGGATCAGACTCCAACAAAAGCAGAAACAACTTCTAATATGTTTTGTGTAACACAAGATCAGTCATCATACCCAGCAGTGGACTACTCTTCTATAAGAATGAAGGTAATGAAAATTACTCTAAAAAAAATTATGTTTAGTAGCATATTTTTAAAGTACCTAGTAAATGTTTTATAGACAAATGCCCTACACTTTCATGAGTCATTCCATGCCAAATCACAAAAAAAAGCAGATTTCTGTCTTCTGGATTAAAGAATAAAAAAGGATAGTCATTCCGTAATGTGCATTTTTTCTTGCCTACTATATGTACACCCATTCACAATTACCTGATCTGACTATGCCAATTGGAGGAGTATATCATGCCCTTTCATATATATATATTTTGAACTTTCTTCAATATAACGTGTTTTCCCCCCCCAAAAATTAGTTGCCATGACTTTTGAAGTAACCCTCGTACTTATTTTGTTCACATTATGTTGTTCCTGATTCAAGAACAGGATTAGAACAAGTCTCTACAGCAGCCCAGACTGTAACTAACCAAGTCGATGGAGCTGAATCCATGAGAAACTTATAGTCACTCTGCTAGTCAATGCTAGTCAGTGAATTGTTGGCATTTGTAACTTGGCATCCTGCAAGTCTATAAGAGAGGGTGCACCTGTCTGCAGGAGAGACTTTGTTCATTGTCTGGTGTGGATCCTAAATATAATCCTAATATAATGGATACATAGGAAACATAAGACTCGGCTTAATTTTGCCAATATTTGGTTGGTGAGAAGAGCCTGCTTGTATCTTATCAAAACATGTAACCAACACCATCATTTGGCAAATAAATATGCCCAAATACTTTTAACAAACAGTTAAGCAAGTTTAATATTTGAAAATTATACAGTATCAGTTCATAGATGTCAAGAAAATTTACATTAATACTCACAGAACATTAGCAAATAATAGAGTAATTTGTCACATAGCAAACTGCAGGACCTGAGTTGAGTTTATCAGGGGGTCTCTCAACTACTGCTGCTGTCACCTCAATTTTAGGCCTTAGCCACTCCCCATAACAGAGAACAAAATGCCCAAATAAACCAGCCATGCACATGACTTACCAAATTTTCAAATATACAAGACCTGGGGTTCAAAGCATGTTACTATGACAAAATTACAACAACAAAAATTCAAGACCTAGGATCTTTAAATAATTCCATAAAAACGAAATTTCAAAATATAAACGATTCCCTTACTTTTAGAACTGTTGCAGTGTCAACCCTGTTCATTCTGACTGACTGAAAGGAAAAAGAGAATTTTGGAATAAAGGCACCAAAAAACTCTTTTGAGTGCATACTCCCATCAAGTTATTTGGTCATGCACTCCCTGTGTGCCACAGTGGTGTGGGAATGAACAGAGGGAACAAGATTTCAGGGAAAGGTAGAATCAGGCCTGAAGAAGTGGGGACGAGATTAAGAAATGAATGAGGATGAATTATATTCTGATTTGGGGAGAGGGGAAGCAGTGCAAACTATAAACCATAGATCACACACAGTTCAAGAGTGAATGTGTCCCTAGGTCTTAACCCATTCAACTCTTTTGCTTAGTTCAGGTTGCAGACATTTACATGGCCTTAAATTTTTTGAATGGGCTCGGGTTGCTTTATGCAGTTGTGCAAATGAGGGTGCTTGTATTTTATTCAGTTATTTATGCATGGCTGCCAACTACACATGATTTCAGAATCCCTGCTTCTGATACTGATTTATGGATGTTGTGAAACCATTTTATTATGTAGGATGTTTGGGTAGGTCAGTCAAATGACAAATTACGTCGGGCCTTTCTTCTTTTACTAGACACTATTTACATTAATTGTATGTTGTTAAATGTATCTATTCTTACACATGTTTCATGCTATTTTTCTACATTAAACTTCTATTAACACTGTACTGCTGACTTCCATATATGATATAAACCTCAGTTTTGTCATGTGACACCTACTTCTATAGACTAAGTATATGGAGTTTAACACAGTTTTTTTTCCCCTCTACCCACAGGCTACATTAATTTGCTTAATGCTAAATAAGAGTTCTCCATTTGTTTTCTCCTATTCAGAGTAATCCCAGACATTATATAGTCTTGTTTCATTTAATAATGATAGACGTATGTGGAGATGTACACGTTTTAATCCTTAGAGTGCGCTGTCTAGAATGCAACTGTATTAAATTACAAGATTTGAAATGTGTACTCTTACGAGTACTCCAAAATTTCAAAGGTGTTTTTCACTCCACACTATGAGCGCTGATGCTATTGTATTGCAGCAACATGATCCTAGGTCATTTGTGCAACAGTGTGCTCCAGTAATGGCCTTGTATAATGAGTATTGTGTAGGTTTTAGGAAAAATGTGTCAGACCCACATGGACAGGACCATAAGGTGTTTTTCATCATACTAGAGCGTGAAGAACACCTCAAATTCTGTTTCATCAGAGTATTTGCCTGGTCTCAAGAAAATGGAGTAATAATTAATGTAAAATTATGCCTAATAAATAAATCTGTTTAACATGGTTATGGAAAGCAAGGACAAAAGTTAAAATAGCAGTGTAGTGCACAAAATATGCATTTTTATTGTAAATACATGCATCTTTTTAAAATACTTTTTAAGTAAAGTACCTGTGTTTGAAATTGAAACATATATATATATATGTTCCTTGAGATTCTGTTATAAGCAGTCTTTACAGATGTATGTATTGACTTTCTTTTGCAGACTGCACTGATAAGTCCAAATGAAAAGCAGTTTGACCTTCTGCAACGGCAATTAAAAGAGAGACTAGAAGATGGAAGAGGAGAAACCATCTATGATGTTGGTGTTGGTGAAGGTAGATGAATTTCTTTTGTTTATGTAATACTTTATTTTGTTTATATATTTCTTCATTATGTTGTGAATTTTTAGATGGCAGTGAAAGTGGCTTGAAACAAGATGAATATGATGCATCAGTGGCCACTCTGCAATCTCTGGGTGCTACCCTGGAAGCAGACTGTATGTTGCTAAGGCAGAGAAAGGTGGAAGAAGGTGTTACAGGACAATATTTAGTGAGACGCAGAGTGGATCAGCAAGATTTTCTAGAAATCAGGTAATAGTAAGTATGTAATGTTTTCAAGGAATGGGACATTTTGAACAGATTGAAGTGGTAGTCAGGAAGTCTGTGCATAAGTTATGTCTTATCTATAAATTTCTGTGATGTCTAGAAACAATTGCTTGCTTTGTATACATATTTATGCATGTGCTGTGTTGGTTATCACAGAGTCCTTACTGATTCCAGATATTCAGCTTTGCAAACACCAAATCCTGCATTAGATGCAGTTTATTGTAGTTCACATAACCTGTGGTAAGGTAAGGCCATGAGAGTGGAGACCAGCCTTAAGCTAGCTGCCACATTATGATGTTTCTGGTTGTGTAGGCTGTATAGGTGTTTGTGTGTGTGTGTGTGTATGTATGTGTATCTTTTTATCTCCATTGTCTGTAAGTAGACAGATATGGTAAACTAACGTTCAAGTAACTTTTTTTCTAGGGTTGCTGTTGTGGGCAATGTTGATGCTGGGAAATCTACTCTCTTAGGTGTGTTAACACATGGAGATTTAGACAATGGAAGAGGATATGCTCGGCAAAGGCTCTTTCGCCACAAACACGAAATGGAATCTGGACGCACTAGTTCTGTGGGGAATGATATTTTGGGATTTGATAGTCTGGGTAGGTATGATTTTAATTAAGTAAGATAGTCATTCAAATTTTCATTGAGAAGATAATATTTGATGTTCAATAACTTT